CTCAGCTTTTTCTTGTTCACTGAAGGCCTGAGGCAAATTTGTGAGGATTTGGTTTTATACAGCAAGTCATAGTATGTTCCCATTTGTGCCACTGCCATTTTCCATTACAACATTAAGATCCGTCTGTGGTAGAAGTGTGAGACTATGTAGTCACTAAAATACAAGTCTGAAAAAACAGTGTTTTATTCCTTGGGTTACAAAAAAAACAAAAAATGCAAAAATAATGTATTTTAATGAAAGCTGCAGTCATCTTTTTTGCTTTTATTATTTCAGAGTGTAATTCTGTATAGTGAATTCTGTAGGCACCAGTTTAAAGCAGTATATATATTATATATACTATATATATTATATATAGTATATATATATATATATATATATATATAAAATCTCGCAAAGAATAATGATATGTTACTAGACAAAACAATAGTTTGCAAATGTTTTTAACCCATTGGTTTAGGTATTCTTCATTCACTAAAAGTTAATCAATTCCATAACAAATTAAAAGCAATTTCATATCTGTCATTCTTGCTTACTTTTTAAAGGTCCTGTAGCATTACAAAAAAAGTGATTCAAGTCATAATTCATACTTCTTATTTTATTTTACTTTTAAAGATTTTTACATGGGAATTGGGGGATTGGAACAGCGCTGGGGAATTGGGGGAAGGCAAACAGACAAGTTGCTGTCCCTTTGTTCCTCAGTCTAGCTGTGGAAGATGTTGCTTCACTGGCCCAAGTTGGCACTATGATTGCATTCTTCCCAGGCGAGGCAGATCAGTCGCTGGCTTCTGGATGGCTGTTCATGGCGGCTGCTGGCCGCTCACTCTGGCTGCTGGCTACACACGGTAACCCATGGCAACCCACTGCAGCAGAGGCTGCAACCTACACTGTTACCGGCGACTCACAGCAGCCCAGCTCCAGGTTGAGCTGTTGTTCAGCATCTTAGCTGTAGAGGGCAGCCTCACTGGCCCTCATATGTGGGATCTGAACCAGGGCCCTCTAGTGTCCCAAGTCAGCTCTTAACCAACACGCCACTTGGCCAGCACCATACTCCTTATTTTTTTAATCTTTCCATATTACTATACTATATGTGTATATATACATACACATAAAATTGAAGGAAAAGCTTTTATCCTGGGTTCATTTCAATAAGTAAAGACATTTGTCTATTATTTACTTAGGTGTATATTTTACCATTTTATACTTTTATTTTTCTCCAGAGTACTTTATATCAATAAAGCTATAAACACATATGATGAAGAAATGAGTATAGCTTTATGGTCAGACAGGCTTTTTAAAATCTCTGCTGTTTTCAAGTTGAGCAACCTATATCAAGTCATTTTGAGCCCTAAGTTCCTTCATTTGTAAAACAACAATAATGATAATACCTATCTCAGGAACTTGCTGTAACAACTAAATAAACTAATTTAGTGTCAAACATGGAATGCACTTGGTAAACATTAATTTCCTTCTTCTTGGTTCCTTCAAAAAACAATTAAATTTTTTTGCTGTTAATACCAAATTTTGGGGTGGCCGGGTGGCTCAGTTGTTAAAGCACATGCTCTGAACAACAAGGTTGCCCATTTGATTCCCACATGGGCCAGTGAGCTGCGCCCTCTGCAACTAGATTGAAGTCAACAACTTGAGCTGAGTTGCCGCTGAGCTGCCGGTGGGCAGCCAGATGGCACAGTTGGTAAGAGCCTTAACAACAAGGTTACCAGTTCAATTCCCAAATGGGATGGTGGGCTGCGCCCCCCCCGCCCCGCAACTAGATTGAAATCGGCGACTAGGCTTGGAGCTGAGCTGCGCCCTCCACAACTAGATTGAGGAACAATGACTTAACTTGGAGCTGATGGGTCCTGGAAAAAACACACTGTTACCCAATAAAAATTATATTTTTTTAATTTTAAGTGATAAATAATCAATAAAATAATAGTTATATAAAAGTGCTATACATCAAAATACCATTTTTCAAAAAAAAATCAGCTAAACTAAAAACAACACATTTTGATGCATAAAGCCCTTTAGAACATATTAGTTCCTGAGGTAACAATCATATAAACTGTCATCAGAATAAGTAAAACTAAATAATATTCATTAAAATTTATCTGTAAAAGAGCAATATAATATCCCGTTTTTCATGTGAAATTTGACTACTTTGCTTGAACAAATAAAATATTGGAATTTTAGACACAATGGTATGCAGATTATCTTCCCCTTCTCCCGAAAAAGCTTAAGTGACACTATGGCTACCTTGTTTTTCAAAACGTCCAAAGATCCAATCACTTTTTCAAAAGGTTACTTTCCAACATGAACATCAATGGCATACAAGGCATCATCTAGGAGGTAGATGTCAGCCCCTCTATAGACAAATCCAGCCAGACTAACTCCATGCTTCTGGCCCCAACTTATATTCATACCCTGAAAACAAAGTAGGAGAAAAAAAACCAAAACCAGAGGAAAAAATGTGTAGCTACATCCAAATTCTCTTCTGTAGCATGGCTAGATAATAACTCAACATTAATATTCAAACCTTTCTTTATACCAGAATTCCATGGGCCTCCCCCTACCCCCTTATTTTCCAGTGCTACTAAATTGTGCAAATTTACAGATATATCTACTTTCTTTTCATTGCTTTCACTCAAACGTAGATGCTACCAGGAGATACTTAATAGGAGAAAAAAATTTCCAATTCCCTAACTCTGAAAAGTCGTCCCTGTGGAATATTAAACAAGGACATTGGCTGCCAACCATATACTGACACCAGTGATCATTTTTCAATTGACACATAGGAAGTTGAGAATAATAGCTAAATTACCAAAGCAGTAATCAACATGTCCAATTTTCTTCTGTAAAAAGATTGGTACAAGTCTTGTTGGCAAAAGTACAACTCTAAGAAGCAAGAATAAGGGGTATACATCACTCCATGTGAGAATTAAAGTTGACATGCACAGCCATGTATGGAGAATTATGGGGCCAGGCCCAATTTACTTGATTTATTTTGTATTTAGTGTTTACAGATCTCATTTAAAAGCTCTCCATGCTACACAGAACTTAGCCAGTGACCTATAATTGTATAATGCTTTTGCTTCTTTTCCTTCTCATTCTCCTACTCAACAGATATCTCCTTTATATGACTATATTCTGGGTGCTAAGCTAGCACTTGGGATTCAAATGTAAATGAAACTGAGTCTCTGTCATGAGGAGGGTCCAGTTTAGCAGAGAAGATGGGAATTAAATTATATACTATAAATATGTACATATATATTTATGTGTATATAGCTATATATATACTATACACATAAATATATATATGAGAGAAAGAGAAAGAGAGAGAGAGTGTGAGTGTGTGTGTGTGTGTGTGTGTGTGTGTGTGTGTATGTGTGTGTGTGATAACAACCCCCAACTCATGGTTTTGTCATGAGTATTTAATAAAATGAATGTAAAACATTTAGGACAAATCCAACACCAAATATAGACACAATCAACATTAACTATTATCACCTAATCACTCCTCTCCAATCCATCCTCTTCCTCGTCATCACTTATTCTGTAATATGCCATAATCTTAATTAAAAACCTTGGATGCCCACATCTCCCTCTTCCACTTCATGATCAACAAAAAATTACTCAATATAATTCTGAGATACTTATATTCTGCTATTAGTCCATCTTTCAACCACTCTCCCAACGCTGCCAAGTGACTGTGGCCTGCCAACCAGGCTAGCCTGCCCTGTCACATCTGGGCAGAGGCTGTTCTCTCTGCTTGGAGGCCCATATCACCTTTTTCAACTCAAAAGCTACAAAGAAGTCCTCTTTGAAAGCAATCTTCCACCACTGTTCCGAGTAAAGTGATTCATTCTCTCCTTCCCTGTCTTGCAGTGCTGTTTACTTGTCCCATTGCTGGAAATGGCAATACCCATGGCAGTCTCTCTCACCAGCCTACAAACTCCTACCAAGCTAATCCCTGTATTTCCAGCAAGAACAATGTCTGACACTGGGTGATTCATAAATATTGGTAAAGACAGTTTATTGCGTTGGCAAAGATCCACCAGACTGCAAATTCCTTGAAGGCAGGGTGCTAGCTCTCTTGTTCACTATTATGTACCCCATAGCAGAATAAAGGTATGTAATATATTAGTAAATATTTGTAGTCAGTTGAAGAATGTCAAAGGAAAAGATGAATAAAAGTGAGGAAAATTCTATATCTATTATATAGGTTGTCTCAAAAACAGCTGTAAAAAGATTTCCTTTGGAAATATTCAATTACATGTTAATTTTAAAGTACATCATCAAATTGGGAAAATTTTGTTATGAAAAGCAGAAATTATAAATGGTAATAATAGTGAATGCCTATATTGACTATACTTCATGTTTTGAATTTTTTTCTCTTTAAATTCTTTTTAGTTACATATTATCAGCTATTTCACATTATTAGAGATTGACTTCATCAGCATAATATTCACTATGTATTAACAAGTTTGAAGAAGTCACATATCTGCATAATTTTAGATATGGTGCCATTTGCCTAGGGATAGTGAAGATGCCAGAATAAACACAAAGGTTGGGAAAAAAACTGAATCTATTTTATATTTTGAGAAAATGCATCTGCAAAGGAACAGGCTATGAGTGAAGCCAATGTAAGCCTAATTAAAAGGTAAATTTTGCTTCATCATAGATTTTAAATATTTCTACTTTCTGCAATTTTGTTATATATTTTATTTATCAATTTATGTAAAAGAACTATTAAATAACAATGAGGCCAGGGGTAAAAATGCCTAACAATGCTATGCCAAAAGTCTTTTCAGAAATTCAAAGCACTCAGTAAGGATTATTTATTCATCTTCATAGTATGCATGAATCTCTTGGCAGAGGCTGCTTTTGCATTCATGTTTATTTAATAGAGATTTTAGTCATGGATTGAGGCTAATCTCTTGGGGTTCCTACTTTGGCTCCTGATGTCTTGTTTTGTTTTTTAATTTCAAAACACTGGGCAGCATAATGATTATCCATTAATTCAATGAAAATAAAATAGAACAAAGAACAAGATGGCTGGGAAACAACTTCCTCTTGAGCAGAAATGAGCGAACATGGAGAAGGTACATTAATGGCACCATCATATCAGAACCTCTTTAGATCCTGGCCTTGGTGCCACCACTGGAGACTGGTGCTCTGTTGCTACTGTCATAGGCTTCACTTTGTGCACAAAAGACACATGAAAAAACGAAACTATTATTCACTCATTAGACAGTCAACAGCATTCTGCCAGGAACTGAAACAAAATGTTGATAATCCAACTGGTGGGCTTTCAACCTCCTACACTGATTCTAGCAACAGAATTTCCTGCTGATTTTTAATGTTTTCCAAAGTCAATCATAAATAATTATTTGTCCTTAATTTGCCATCTCTTTCACAGGAAGTCTATGATGATTTTTTAAAAATATTATTGTTGTAGAGCTCTTCAAGATGTCAGTAAAAAGGCTCTAAATATTTTATTAGCACAGCTGAATGGAATTTTATTCCTGCATGTGATGAATTATATTTTCCTTATTCTTTCTCCAACCTCAATTTGATCTCCATTTGGTAATGGCTCCAAATCAGGAAGGAGTACACAGGCTTCCAATACTCGCTCGTAAAAATGCTTCTGCGTGATGGAGCCAAAGGGAGTGTTTTCTTGCAAAATGCAATTCTGAATCCAGGCCTGCTGGGAAACGTAAGCCACAGAGCCCTGAAAAAGAAAGAAAGAAAGAAAAAATACTCTTCACATGACATTAAAGAAACATATCTAGTCCATGGGTTTGCTTTCTTTAACTTCAAATTGAATTAAAAAAAAAATCTAGGTTATTTCTTAAATGTAAATATATCCTATTTAATTTAACTTTAATCTTCTATTGTATTTTACTCATAAGTACGTTTATTAGAGGCCCCTTCAAATGAGTTACTTCGCGCTTCTTATTTACTTTTACTGCAGCTTTTATCAAAGTTCTATGTCTCTGGTGGGTGGGATTTTCTGGAAGCAAATGCTGAGTGTATTAGTCAGCTCTGGCTGCCCTACAAAGATATCATGAACTAGATGGCTTAACCAACACAAATTTATTTTCTCATGATTCTGGAAGCTAGAAGTCTGAGATCAAGGTATCGGCCCGGTTGGTTTCTTCTGAGGCCTCTCACCGTGGCTTATAGACGCCATCATCTCTTGAATCTTCACATGGTTTTCCCTCTGTATGTGTCTTGTGTCCTAATTTCCTCTTTTTATAGGGCCATCAAGTCATACTGGATTATGGCCCACCCTATTGACCTCACTTTAACTTAATTACCTCTTTAAAGACCCTATCTCTGAATACAGTCACATTCTGAGGTCTTGGGGGTTAGGACTGCATCATGTGAATTTTGAGGTGAACGTCATTCAGTCGATACCATTGAGTCTAGGGTGCAAGTTATTCATTTGGTATCCATTCTTGTGGGAGGAAAGGAGGAAGGAGGATTGGGTAGAGGGAGAAGTCACACCATGATCCAGCTCCAACAAAGCTTTGGCCAACCCTCCAGAAAGCTTGGAGGCATAATGGCCATCAGGGTTGTTCTGTGTTAGGCTGAAAGGGCCTGGCCATCAAGAGTGGGACCCCAGCCAGGCCACTGTCCTCAGATGAAGCCAACCCTGAAATCGCTGACTAGCTGTATGCACTCCCATGGCCAGGTGGCAAGCCCTTCCTATGACCAGGATCTTGGAGGCATATCGCTGTGTCCTTTACATATTCACTACTCCAAAATGCAATTTTTGATGATTTTATGTCTTGAAATGATTCATGAATACATGACAGCCTGCTGCATAAAATATCCTCTTACCTAACCAATCTTTTCCTATAAAGTACCCACAATATTTGAACTAGAGACTTACCTCTTTCAGTCTGTCCCATGGACTCTATCCAAACATTGGTTTGGGAGTATTTTAACCACTGTTTACCCTATAACAATACTAGACATTTAAAGTACTTTCTGACATGGACATGTATGTAACTATTAGCCTTTTGATTTCTATCATCTACTTTAAAGATCAAACATTAACTTTTAATTCTTCTTTGTTCAACATGTAAGGCATAGAATGGCTTTTGATCCAAAACAATATAATTCTGTTCTGACTGGATCTCGAACACAAAAGTAATTGCTCTTAAACTGCCTTGCCTACTGGATAACCTTTGATTAGAACAGCATATTAAACAAGACCTCAGGTGATAGAGATTTTGAACACTTGCTACATATTAGTCAAGATAAGGGGAACCGAGGATGAAGAACACAGGAGAAAAGAGTGAAGAACATAAAAAAATGACATACAATATAAAACGGAAACTAAATACTATGCTGAGAGGTACGGACTCAATGTACTGGTATAACAGGAGCTCGAAAATAGTTGATCAATTTTCAAAGAGATGCAAATTTTTCCTTTTATTACTATTGTAATTATTATTTGCCTCTCAATTAGAAATTAAAAAGTGTTTTTGTTTCATTTTATTCTTGATAATACTATTACAATACAAGTTTTTCTAATTGAAAAATGATCTCCAAATCTCTGATGTCCCATCAAAGAACACTGCATACTGAATACTCTGCATGAATGGTGTCTAGTGTGAGCCTTTGATACTGAGAAGAAAAGGGGATGTTAGAGTTTGAACACTATGATATGATATGCCTCAAAAAACTGCTAATGTGAAACCTCGAGGACTAGATAGATATATACAAAAGCATCTTGTTTAAAAGCACTAAACATTAAGTTGGCATTATGGTTATGATTATGATTATGATTATTACTAAACCAGAGATAATCAGAATGATACTTATAAATGTAGGATTAAAATGTTTTGGGAAATAATTCAGAGTGTGATAACCTCAAGTCCTGCCACTGATTCAGACCAACAAGATTTCTGAATGACAAAGTGGCCAGTTATATAGACAGATAATACCCTCTCTCTTCGACAACTCTAGCTTAACATATATAAATATCCTCTCTGCTTTACGATTAGTAATAGCATTGTTATGGGATCTTTCATCACCATAAACACTTTCTTAATTACTAACCCTCAAAAGTATCAGAAGTAATCTTTAAATCTTACTATGAAAGCATCAACAATATGAAGATACCAATAACCATAAAAATTCATAAGGAGCTAGCTGACTGTGCCAAGAACTCAGCTAGGCCTTTGCTCATTATCTTATTCAATTGCTCCTTAGCCTTTTCAGCTTATTATTATCATTTGTCCATTAGGTGAAACTTAGAATTCATGCTGTTTTTTTTTTTTTAAAGATTTTTATTGGAGAACTGGGGAGGGGAACAGTATTGGGAAATTGGGGAAGGGGAACATTGTGTTTTTCCAGGACCCACCAGCTCCAAGTCAAGTTGTTGTCCTTTAATCTTAGTTGTGGAGGGTGCAAGCTTAGTTCTAAGTCCAGTCACCGCTTTCAATCTAGTTGTGGGGGGAGGGGTTGTAGTCCACTATCCAATGTGGGAGTCCAACCAGCAACCTGGTTGCACCCTGATCCATCCAGCCGCCCATTGGCAGCTCGTGGCTGCTCAGCTCAAGGCGCTGTGTTCAATCTTAGTTGTGGGGTCGGGGGGAGGTGCAGCCCACCATCCCATATGGGTGTTGAACTGGCAACATTGCTGCTAAGAGCACACACTCTCACCAATTTAGCAGCAGCTCAGCTCAGGTGCAGCTCACTGGCCCACGTGGGCACTGAACCGGTGACCCTGTTGCTCAGAGCTCGCGCTCTTAACCAGCTAAGCCACTCGGCCAGCCCTGATACTGTTTTTATTTTGATCAATTGCTAATTATTTTCAACATCAAATAAATGGCTACTTCCTCTCTATTTTTCCAATTCTACAAAACATAATTTGTTATTTATATTTTTATTCATTTTTTATATCTTATTTAAACCTTTGTTGTAATTGATCTCAGTATCTCTCTCACTAGACTATGAAATCTGTAATAAGAGTGGCATATCACATTCATGTTCATTCCCTTGGTACTAAATGCTGGGCACATAGTATGTGCTCAGTAAATTGCTTGGTGAAAATAGCTGAAGAAACTAAATAAAAATAAAATCAATATGGCAATCATATTTTTAAAAGAGACTCACTGGCCTAGGAAAAGTTTACAGTCATCTTGACCTACAGACAAATGGCTTGTTGCAATCACTATGAAGAGCATAGGGCCACAAAGAAAGTATATTTAAGGTGAAAAACAGTGGTAGTCATTAAGTGTATTCTCATCAGAACAAGTCCTAGAAGTAATAAACTAAGTAATAGTAATGCTGAGAGAGAAAAGAATAAACAAAATATTAATCATTAAAGGACTGGAATCAGGAAACATAAGGATATGAAGAAAGACATATTATGAAGAAAAATAAAAGGAGTTGGAGATTTTTTCCTCGAGAGAAAAACTGAAGAAGCTGGTCTCAGACCCATAGAGCTTTTCCATCTTGTCAGAAGTGAGAAGTAAGGATTAAGCTAGTATTTTACCTGAGTTAGTTAGGTCTAAGGAGAAACTCACTAGACAGTCTAATGTTTCAAAAAAGAAACAGTTGATTAAGAATTTCTTGAATTCTTATTGCTTGACCTTTGAGAATTGAACAAATGGCTGGGAGTAGATCTCTCCATAGTCCAAGGTTGACATTTAAATATAAGCTATTAATTTTATTATTTTCATGAGGTTTTTCTAGATCAAAGATCCTACCCATGCGTAACTACAAGACATCTTAGAAATTAAATGGCCATAATTACTTAGAAAACCCTGCAATGAATGATAATTAAAAGCCTAATCAAATTACAGTATAAATCACATTTGTTTCTCTATAATTGGTTGCAATTTAGTTAATATCATCAAACAATTACCTTAAGCATTCACAAATGATTTGCTGAAATATTTGGAGGATAGAATGCTGTCACTAATCCATTTGTACTAATCAATTTATGTGGAAATTGAAATTTTTGTTACAAACTAGAAATGCCCATTAAACACTTGCATCTTCAATTCAATTTGATAAATTCTTATTGACACCAATGATGTGCTTGCTGGCTGTGGTTCACACAAGGAGATACGGAAAGAATGTATTGTTGACTTTACCTTTTTTTGGACTACTCTTGTAATTTTCTCTATTTTCCCAGAATAGTTTCTCTAAATCCCCAGATGATTTTTCACACCAAACTTGCCCTACCACAGCTACTAAAGCTCCTTCTGGAATCTTTTACTTCAAGCTGCATGACCAGAATTGGACAGAGGTGATCTAGTTAGTTTTTGGTATAGTTGTTTTTAATGTATATTCCTAGACAAATCACTGTATCACAGCACTGAGCTTAATCCCTGAAATTGTTGGTATTCACATTATTCTACGAACACCAAGCCTTCCAAAATACAAAATGCAAACAACAAATGTTGCAAAGGAAACAGATGAAATGAATACAATAGAGTAGAACAACCATAAAAATGTAAGGTACAGTGAAAGGTTAAAAAGAAGTTATAAATTTCAATATTTTCACCTGCTGCTTAAAAAGCTCTATGAAGGGCTGGCCGAGTGGCGCGATGGTTGAGAGCTGGCTTGGGACACCAGAGGGCCCCAGTTCGGATCCCACATATGAGGGCCAGTGACACTGCCCTCCACAACTAAGATGTTGAACAACAGCTCAACATGAGCTGGGCTGCCGTGAGTCCAACAGCGTAGGCTGCAGCCCCTGCTGCA